ATTCCAAGAGAATTCCAAGAAATTCCAAAAAAAATAAAAATAAAAATCCCTGAAAAAATTCCAAGAGAATTCCAAAAAAAGTTTCCCAAAAAATTCCAAAAAAATCCCCAAAAAAATCCAAAAAAAATTCCCAAAAAAATTCCAAAAAAATTCCAAAAAAATCCAAAAAAAATCTGAAAAAATTATTCCAAAAAAATTCCATGAAAATCCTCCCCAAAATTCCCAAATAATCCCTAAAAAAATTCCAGGAGAATTCAAAAAGAATCAAAAAAAAAATCCAGAAAATTCCTCGAAAAAAAAATCCCAAAAAATCCCCCCAAAATTCCCAAATAATCTCTAAAAAAAATTCCAAGAGAATCCCAAAAAAATCCAAAATAAATTCCAAAAAATCCCCCCAAAAAATCCCAAAAAATTTCCAAAAAATTCCGGAAAATTCCCCCAAAAAATTCCCAAAAAATTCCCCCAAAAAATTCCCCCAAAAAATTCCCAAAAAACCCAAAACTTCCCTAAAAAAAAATTCCCAAAAAATCCTCCCGAAAAAAAAGCCAAAAAATCCTCGGAAAAAAAACCCCGGGAATTTCCTGGAATTCCCAAAAACCCCAGCAAAACCCTCAGAATTCCGGGAATTCCGGGAATTTTGGGAATTTTGGGAATTTCCCGGTACCTGGGTGAGGCTGAGCAGCAGGATCAGTGCCCAGGGCCTCTGGAATTCCGGGAATTTTGGGAATTTTGGGAATTCTGTCATACCTGGGTGAGGCTGAGCAGCTCCAGGTGCTCTCAGGGCCCCCGGAATTCCGGGAATTTTGGGAATTTTGGGAATTTCCCGGTACCTGGGTGAGGCTGAGCAGCTCCAGGGGCTCCCAGGACCCCCAGAATTTTGGGAATTTTGGGAATTTTGGGAATTCTGCCGTACCTGGGTGAGGCTGAGCAGCTCCAGGGGCTCTCAGGACCCCCAGAATTCCAGGAATTCTGGGAATTTTGGGAATTCTGTCATACCTGGGTGAGGCTGAGCAGCAGGATCAGTGCCCAGGACCCCTGGAATTCCAGGAATTTTGGGAATTTTGGGAATTTTGGGAATTCCCCGGTACCTGGGTGAGGCTGAGCAGCTCCAGGGGCTCTCAGGGCCCCCGGAATTCCGGGAATTTTGGGAATTTTGGGAATTTTCCGGTACCTGGGTGAGGCTGAGCAGCTCCAGGGGCTCTCAGAACCCCCAGAATTCCGGGAATTTTGGGAATTTTGGGAGTTCTGTCGTACCTGGGTGAGGCTGAGCAGCAGCACCGACACCCAGGACCCCCAGAATTTTGGGAATTTTGGGAATTTTGGGAATTTCCCGGTACCTGGGTGAGGCTGAGCAGCTCCAGGGGCTCCCAGGACCCCCAGAATTCCGGGAATTTTGGGAATTTTGGGAATTCTGCCCCCGTACCTGGGTGAGGCTGAGCAGCAGCACCGACGGCCACTCCTGTCCGTGGCGCTCCCGCGTGCGGCGCAGCGTCTCCCGGATGATGTCACCGAAATCCTCGGAAAACTGCGGGAAAAGGGGCCGGGAATTCCCAGGAAACCCCCCAGGGAATTCCCCAGGGGGGCGGGGCTTGGGAATTCCCGGGAAATCCCCCAGGGAATTCCCCATGGGGGCGGGGCTTGGGAATTCCCGGGAAATCCCCCATGAGGGGGCGGGGCTTGGGATTCCCGGGAATTCCGAATTCCCAATGAAATTCCCGGGAATTCCAGGGATGGGAATTTTGGGAATTCCTGGGAATTTCCCAATGGGGGGGGAGGTTTGGAATTCCCGGGAATTCCCAGGAAATTCCTGATGGGGGGGGGCTCAGAATTCCCG